GGGGAGGGAGGGGAGGGCGGGAAGACGGGAGGAGGCGAGGCACCCGTGTCCGTTCACGTCGATGTCCGAATAGATGATGTCCCCGATCTTTCTCATCTCGTCACGAAGCGTCCTCCACCTGCGCATGGCCCGAGGCGGGGACGGCGTCTCGGAAGGCACCCTGGATTGAGAAAAAAGAATTCTCTGGCGCCAGAGCGGCAAGGATGCTCCGGGCAGGCGGGTACCCCGGCGGGCGGGTACCCCGGCGGGCGGGTACCCCGGCGGGCGGGTACCCCGGCGGGCGGGTACCCCGGCGGGCGGGTGCCGCTGCTTGGGGGTGAGGCAGCAGGGGGCAGTGAGGAACGGGGAGGCCGTGTCTCGCACTCGTACGCCGGAGGCAAGTTGCGGAGGACGGCGCGGTGCCGCTGCGAGCGCGGCGCGTCAACAGGAGCGGCAAGAGAGAGAGCTGCAGAGTTGCCCGCCGGCGCCGCGTTCTTGCCCTTGTTTTTCGCGAGCTCGGCCTTGACACGCTGCTGGCCTGCGTCATCCGCGCACCAACGTCAGCAATCCGGCTCGAGTGCCAGTTTGAATACTCAGGCCTGTTATTTCCGCATCTAGGGCAGCTGACCGAGGAGCGTGTCTTGCATTCCCGCCACGACCACCTCTGCCGCACGCGTGTCGGAAAACTCCTGCGCGCGGACGTGACGGAGCGGCGACGAGGTGGGCGAGAGGCGGGCGCGCAGCGACGACCCGGCGGCGATAGTGGCGCAGCAGTGGTGGCGAGAAGTGGCGGCGGTCGCGGCAGTCGCGACACTGGCGGCGAGGGACCCGGGCGTTGCGCTCGCAGTGGTGGCGGCGGTGTGGTGGCGGCGGCGGCGGCGAGATGGCGGGACTGGCGGCGAGGAAACGGCCCTCAGCGCACCACGAAGGCAAACCCGCCCGGGTTGCGAGCGATCCACACTGATGCCGGCATCGCAAACTTGCTGCAGGCATGCATGAGCTCATCCTGGCCCACGTGCGGGTCCAGGTTGCCGATATAGACGCGGGACATTGCGCTAGTGTGAGATTAGGCCGGCGGACCCGGGGGGCTGTGCACTGGGCAGCCACAAAGCTACTGTAGGGTGAACAAAAAAGAAAACATCTGGCTCACTACGCGCTCCGGCAGCCCCAGCCAGGCCCCACGCGGTGGCCGCGACCGCGACCGCGGCTCTCGCTCGAGCCCGAACTGCCCGTCAGACGTGTCGGAATTGTCGGAGAATAGCGACTAGCACACCTCTTAGAGGGAGAGTTGTTTTGTTTTGAGAGAGAGAGAGATTTGTGTGTTTTGTTTTGCACCTCTGTCAAGCGTCTTCCCCAGAAACCCGAGGAGTCACACACACCACCTGTGTGATGCCGCCCTGCGAGCGGGGCAGGGTGCGCACTGTGCCTCTGTGTACTGTGTTCATGCGTCGCCCATCTCTCCTGGACTCTATTTTTTCGGAGTCAATTATAAGTTAGATCGG